TTTGAATGTGTTTTCTTTTTAATTTTTCCTCAAATAATTCTATTTTGCGAAACGTTATTTTTGCCACCGAGACGAAATTTCGTGAAAGTAAGAATCACAAAAATTTCATGAAAGTATATAAATACACCAAAATATTGAATACGCATGCGTATACACAGGCACAATAATATATCATGGAGTGATGAAAAACTTTCTGTATTAAATAGAATGGATTGCTTAGCGACTTTCGTTCAATTTCAACGCTAATCATTGGATGAGAACTTGTCGCTAAGTGAGTGCTTTTACCTGATAGCTATTTCAGTCTTACTCCACCTGTAATGGGTTTATTTGGTTTGTTTTTTTGTATTTTTTTTTTTTTTTTTTTTTTTTTTTTTGTTTGTTTTTTGTATTTTTTTTTTTTTTGGTTTTTTTTTGTACTTTTTTATTGTTTTTGTTTTTTTGTTTTTTTGGTTTGTTTTACGGCATATCAGCCTCAAAGTGTTATTTAATGCCGACAAGATTTTTATTGCTGGTAATATTTTTTTTTTTTTCAAAAATGTATTTTTGGAAATATTTTTTTTCCAAAATGTATTGCTAGAAATATTTTTTTATGTATTCCTGGTAATTTTTTTTTTTTTCAAAAATTTATTACTGGTAATTTTTTTTTTTTTCAAAAATCTATTGCTGGTAATTTTTTTTTCAAAAATGTATTCCTGGTAATTTTTTTTTAAAATGTATTTCTGGTAATTTATTTTTTCAACACTGAATTGCTGGTAATTTTTCTTTTCTCAAAGATGTATTCTTGATAAATTTTTATTTCCAAAATTGTATTGTTGGTATTAAAATCTATTTTTATACATTCATAGTGTTTTAACCACTTTGTGTAAATAGCAAACTGGATCCTATAGCTTTGGGTGGCGAACGACCTGAATTCAAATCCTGAAGGTCGTTTGGGGACCTTGTGGCATGATGTAAACTGGTTCTCTGTATTCGGCTCTTCTAAAAAGAGTCTGTTTGGTTCTGCACAAGCCTTCACCACTATAATCAAATGACATGTCCTGGTCGTCTGCTTGTTGATTTTAAGGCCTAAACTGCTTGACCCTCATACGCCAGAGATCTCTAAGTGTCTGAGGAGACAATCAGCATGAAGACATTCGTTATATGTCATATGTGATGAGGAAAGGGCCTTTATGTCGGAACACACACAAGAATAATGGTTTCTCCGAGCAAACAATTACCGAACAAATGGAAACATCCAGAAGAATCTGGAGATATTCCATTTATTTAAAAAAAAATTCAAACAGGATCAAAAAGTGAACCGTGTCCAGGATATGATGATAAACTGAATCCTCGTCCTGGGTATGACGATAAACTACATCCGCATCCTGTGTAAGACGATAAACTACAGCAAGGCCTCTGATCAGGGTGTTTCGAGGAACGGAGAAATGAACGAGCGACGCAAATGTAAATAAAATAAAAATCTTGATGGGTGGATTGACAAAATGTCTTCATAAAATGTGCGAGTCGCGTTGGTGAAGGGCGGAAAATCACTTCGACAAACAATTGTTATGGAAATCTGACTCATTTAACAGGTGAAACTCACGCCATTTGTTATACAGACAGCAGTAAAAAAAAAAAAACTATTAACGATTAAGTTCATGTTTAACCCATATAATTTTATTACATTTTCATTAAGACTACTGCGGTTTGGTAAATGTTATTATTCCATTTTGATTGGCACTAAACTGTGTTGGTAAATGTTATTATTTCATTTTGATTGTCACTAGTCAGTTTTGTTAAATGTCTTTATTTCATTTTGATTGGCACTAGACAGTTTTGATAAATGTTATTATAACATTTTTATTGTCACTTGTCTGTTTTGGTAAACGTTATTATTTCATTATAATTTTCGCTAGTCAGCTTTGGTAAATGTTATTGTTTTATTTTGATTGTCACTAGTTCGTTTTAGTAAATGTTATTATTCCATTTTGATTGTCACTAGTCCATTTGGGAAATGTTATTATTTAATTTTTGTTGTCACTGGTCTTTTTTTGTAAATATCATTATTTTATTTCAATTTTTACTAGTCCGTTTTGGTAAATGTTATTATTTTATTTTGATTGTCACTAGTCCATTTTGGTAAATATTCTTATTTCATTTTTATTGTCACTAATCTGTGTTGGTAAATGTTATTATTTTGTTTTAATTGTCACTATTCCGTTTTGAAAAATGTTATTACTTTGTTTTAATTGCCACTAATTTGTTTTGTAAATTTTTATTATTTCGTTTTGATAGTCACTAGTCGGTTTTGGTAAATTTTATATTATTTCACTTTTATGGTCACTAGTCCGTTTTGTTGAATATTATTATTCCAGGTTGATTTTCACTAGTCTGTTTTGTTAAATGTTATTATTTTATTTTGATTGCCACTACACCGCTTTGGTAAATGATATTATGCCATTTTTATTGTCACTAGACCGCTTTGGTAAATGTTATTATTTCATTTTTATTGTCACTAGTCCATTTTGGTAAATGTTATTCCTTTTCTATTGACACTGATCTGTTTTGGTAAATGTTATTATTCCATCTTGATTGGCACTATTCATTTTTGAGAAATTTTCTTATTTTATCGTGATTGGCACTATTCCGTTTTGGCAAATGTTATTCCATTTCTATTGGCACTAGTCTATTTTGGTAAATGTTATTTTTTCATTTTCACTGGCTCTATTCAATTTTTGTAAATCTTATTATTCCATTTTGATTGGTACTATTCAGATTTGGTAAATAATTTCATCTACTTTGATTGGTACTATTTTCATTTCGAATATGAAATTAAAAGTGGAAATACTTATTCTCTGATAACAGAACATGCATTCCTCGTCAATGTCATTTTTTATAAATTTGTTCGTAATTACAAACAAACTGTTTTCAGTTTTTTTAAAGAAATGTCTTTGAAATATTTTCGAAAGTTTTGTTATTGTAATTTTTAATTACAATATATTTGTTGGCACGGGTTCTATGTCCTTGGATGTCAACTTGGCTGAAAGAAATGGAACACTACGGCAGGAAAAAATCTTCCTCGTCAGTCATGTATCGAAAGATACATGATTGCATAAGGGTGTATCACGCATGACATATAACTGACTTTGTTGGAGTTTCAGTAATGTGGCTGTTAATGGGAAACTTGAAAATCCGGCAACATTTTTCATACTGTTAGCACATCATATGATGTATATTGCATCTGCATTTCAGGGGTGAGCCCACAATGCTCTATCGCTAAATGTTAATTCTGTGCCTATATATATATATATATATATATATATATATATATATATATATATATATATATATATATATATATATATATATATATATATATATATATATATATAAATATCATATATATATATATACATACATATATATATATATATATACATACATATATATATATACATATATATATATATATACATATAAATATATATATATAAATACATATATATATATATACATATATATATATATATATATATATATATATATATATATATATATGTGTGTGTGTGTGTGTGTGTGTGTGTGTGTGTGTGTGTGTGTGTGTGTGTGTGTGTGTGTGAAAATATATAGAAAATAGGAAGGAACTGGTTAGGTAAATAATCCAAAAGTTCCTTAGTATTTTAGTTATTTTTTAAAAAATAGTGCTCGATACAAAAGTAGAGTATAAATATAATTATTTATTTTAAATAAAATAATTATATATATATATATATATATATATATATATATATATATATATAATTTATTAAAGAATATCCTCAGTATTCATATTGCAAATATTAAAGCACAGGATATTTTCGTAAACATATATTAAAAAAATATACACAGTTTTCGGGAAATCCTTCATTAGTTTAATCAAAAAATGGCTGGTGATATGGTGACGAAGTTTATAGTTATTTAAGCAAGTGTTAAAGGGGCGAATATCGTAATGAAGACTGGCGGCCAATGTATATTTGACTGAATTCATATGTGGGGGTCTTCACCTCTGGAAATTCAATGCGATTTTGTTTGGTTCCAATTAAGATATGGTTCAAATATAGAATGATCAACAATTTGAATCGACAGAAGAAACGAAAGGAAGAACTGAAAAAAAATTGACTGACGAAATATGTTTCAAAAATAGACATTGATGCCGAAGTGAAAAAAAATAAAAATATAAAGAAGATTCGAATATGGAAGCACAGACAAGCTAAAAATGACAAATTATGGACCAGCATCGGTAAAATAAAAAGAGATTGTAAAAGATCTCTGAAATAGAAAAATATTAAGAAATAATGTAAACAAGAGAAAACTATATATATATATATATATATATATATATATATATATATATATATATATATATATGTGTGTGTGTGTGTGTGTATGTGTGTGTAGGTTTATTGTATCTCTCTCGCTCTCTCTTTCCGCGTATGAGTGAGGGAGAGAAATAGTGTGAGTAGAACACAAGGACAGAAGGGGAAGAGGTAGGGATGAGAGAAAACACAGATTATTTACACCAAATAGAAGAAGCCTGATAAAATGCATTGGAAAGAAAAATAAACGATAGGAGAGAAAAAGGGTGGAAGAGATAGAGAGAGAAAGTGTGAGAGTGAGAGAAAGGTTTGAAGAATTAAAGCAAGAACAAATGACCAGAACTCACACACACACACACACACACACACACATATATATATATATATATATATATATATATATATGTGTGTAGAGGGAGAAAGAGAGAAAAGAGAGTAAGTGAGAGAGAGTGGGGGATCGAGAGAGAGTGGGGGATCGAGAGAGAGAGAAAAGAGAGAGATAATATACAAAAAAACAGAATCATATGTATCCATCCTAGAAAAAATAGTGTGTGAGGGACGGAGCGAGAGAGTAAACGAGAGAGATCAAGAAAGAGTGTGAGAGAGACTGAAGGAAAAGGAAAGGGAGTCAAAAGCAGGCGATAAAAAAACAATAATATATATAATTCACAAAAAATAGCGTGAAATGAACGAGAGAGATAGAGAGAGGGGGGAGGGAGAACGGGGGTGAGAGGGACAGTGCAGGAAAGAGAGAGATTGAGAGAAAGAGAGAGGGGGATTGAGGGAGAAAGAGAGGGAAAAGAGGGGGAGAGAGAGAGTAAGAGACAGAAAGAGGGAGACAGAAGGAGAGAGAGGGAGAACGAGAGGAGGAGAAAGGGGGAGAGACAAGGAGAGAGGGGGAGAGACAAGGAGAGCGACAAAGAGAGAGGGAGGAGGAAAGAGGGAGGGAGAGAAGAGGTAGAGAGAGAAAGGGGGGAGAACGGGGTGAGAGAGACAGTGCAGGAAAGAGAGAGACTGAGAGAGAAAGAGAGGGAGAGATTGAGTGAGAAAAAGAAGGAAAGCGAGGTGGGGAGAGAGTAAGACACAGAAAGAGGGAGACAGAAGGAGAGAGAGGTAGAACGAGAGGAGGAGATGGGGGAGAGGGGGAGACAAGAGAGAGGGAGAGACAGGGAGGCGACAGAGAGAGAGGTAGAAGGAAGAGAGGGGAGAGAAGGAGAGAGAGGAAGAGCTAGAGAGAGGGGGGAGAGAGAGAGAGTGGGGGTGAAAATGATATGAAATAGAATGTAAATTCGATAAATAATCTTTAAAAATAGCTTCATAAAAAAAGACGGGGTGATAGAAATAGGAAACATAAAGACAAAGAAGGATTCTTCTTGAATGGCCCTCCACGCCTTCCTTCAATGATCCCCATGAGCTTGGGGAAAATAAAAAAATGACCCACGTTTCAAAATCAGGCGAAGAGGGAAACACTTCCAGTACGGTGATGTTTTTCCAATTCCAATTCCGAGTTAATATCCATTAAGTAACTGATCAGGCTCGAGGTTAACATCGGTGATCTTGCGAGAACCAATGTTTCAACGTGATATGGCCGTAAGCATGGAAGAAATTATAAGAGGACAAATGTTATTTAGAACTACAAAGGATAGGAAATTGTGGAGAGTCATGATCACCTATACACTGAACGGACACGGAACATAAAAAAGAGTATGATTACAGCATTGGCGCATGATGATAGATATAGTTCCCCCACTAAAGTTCGAACTCACTACTCAAAGATCTACAAGTGAAAAGGAGTGCTCTAACCTTTGCTCTACGACCAGTGGGTCCCACATTATGATTGATATATATATATATATATATATATATATTGTTTTTTTTACTACGCATTGATTTATATATATATATATATATATATATATATATATATATATATATATATATATATATATATATATATACGCATTGATTATATATATATATATATATATGTATTTTTTGTTTTTATTTTTACTACGCATTGATTATATATATATATATATATATATAAAGCGGGTTTAAAAAAAAAGCGGCTACAACTACTAATAATGCAATACTCTTCCACAGGCGTATTTCTTATAGAAAAACAATGTTAAAATTTCCCTGTCTCTCTGTCGTGCGACGATTGCCTTGTGGTAGTATCTCTGATTGATGTCAAATAGGTCGGGTTTTAATCCCGGCTTGAAGTAATCGGACGTTTAACCACACTCAAGAGCTGTGTTACAGCGAAACAGTCTGTATGTGGATGACAATATATATATATATGTGTTTGTGTGTGTGTGTGTGTGTTTGTTTGTGTGCGTGTGTATAGTAGTGGCCAGTCATTGCTAACCTGATTATTTGAAATAATATTCAAAAGCTCTGCCATTTATCGTGGCACGGACCAACTATAGGCCAGAAGGCTTTGGTGGGGGGGGGGCAGACTCTATTCATTGCTGTCCATTTAAAACCTGGATAAAACGAATTGAATTGAATTTGGCTGTATGGTGTTGTTGAGCACATTTTCGGCTTAAAGCTTCAGTTCCTGTACCTTGGAACTAGTTTCTCTTTATTTGAGCACTTTTTGGCTATACTGGCAAGCCTTTCCAAGTGGGATATATATATATATATATATATATATATATATATATATATATATATATATATATATATATATATATATATATATATATATATATATATATATATATATATATATATATATATATATTTTGTTTTTGCCATTTTAGATCTTAGATGGATGATTTACCCTCCCCGCAACCGTTTTGTTTGCTTATCAAATTGAACTCGCCCAATGGTATATAGAGTATTCATCTTATTACAAGTCACTGGTTACCTGATGATTGCGTGAAAGCACATGAAACAAATAGTAGTGGCCAGTCACTGTTAACCTGGTTATTTGAATTAATACACTTCGACTCTAGTAAGAAGAAGTAAAAATATTCCTTTATATTCTCAATTTCTTCGTTCACTTTCATGGTATAGATATGTACGCGATTTCAATGATTGTGTGGTAATGACAACAGATTCTTTTATTATTTAGTTACGATGACAGGATCTTATCATTTGTCTAGAAATTCCGTTTGAATTTAAAAATTAGTCTTCATTTTGCAATTCACTGCAGCAAATCTCGTCTTCTCTCGCCACCGCCATTTTTCTGCGTATTCAAACAATTTATAGAGAATCACTGTTTCAACCCAAATATGTTTACTTATACTTTTTTGAACGGATTGCCTACAGTGTTGTATTTTAAATAGATATCCAAAACTCGGTTTAATATTAATGTTTTCCACTGACATAAAGAGGAAAGATTACATTGAATCAATTGCAAGGTTCGCTGCAAGCAATGTTGATTCCCCCGTCTCGTGCTAGACAATTTTTTTTCTCCCCAGAATCTATCTTACATATTTATAAGTCTACCATTCGTCACTGCTTTGAATATTGTTGTTACATCTAGTCTGGTGCTCCTGCGAAATATTTATCGATTCTTGATAAAATACAAAGAAGAACCTGAATGTTATTGGTTCTGACCTGGCATCTCGGCTTCGGTCGCTTTCCCACCGCCGTAACGTAGCTTCCCTCTCTCTTATCTATGAATAATTTCATGGTGATTGTTCGGCGGAAATTTCCTCTATGGTACCTAGAATTTACAAGTATTTACTCTGCCCCCCCATTAGAACGAGATATGACACAAGGTCTATATTAAGGTGGGGACCCGAGCGCGTACACCCGGGACAGGAAGAAAAATTCGCCTCAGCCTCCGCAACCGTCGGTTGCGCTGGCCTTGGTGCAAGCACCGATCTCCCCCTCTAGTGCAATGGGAGGGTGCGGCCTCAGGCAGCTGTTCCACAGGGCTGGGCACCTCTTCAGTATTATTTTCTCAGTTGCCCCTCTGTTCTTTGACAGAGAAGCCCCTGAGAGATGATAAGTAAACGTGTACCTACACAAAAAGAGTAAGGTACGCGAATTTAAACGAAGTAGGCAATTGACAGTACGGTCTCATCATTTTATGGTTGAACTGGTTAGATATAATCTGAATTTTTATGTTAATAGTTACATTTTCGCACTTCTCGCATGTGGAACTATCTTCTGGCTTATTGCTTCCCAGTCAACATTGATCTTCAAAAATATCAATGTAACGTCAATCGTTCTCTCCTATATTTTCAATTGTTGTTCTTTTATTGTTTAATGGTGTTTTCCTCGTTAACCATTTGTATTTTATTGGCATTATTGCCTTGGAGTGAAATGATAAAAAAGAACCCCAAAACTTATTTTTTTTTTTTATTTTGGAATATCCAATTTATTATTCGCGTGTCAAGTTGTTCCTTTTATCGATACCATCCTAGTTATGACGATAAACTACATCCGCGTTCAGGGTAAGACGATAAACTACGTCCAACAGCAAGGTGTCTGATTAGGAGGTTTTGAGGAGCATGGAACCACCTCTTAATTGCTGGTGTTCCCAGGTCCATCCTGACCCGGGGTGGTAGCACCAGTTAGGGTCTCAGCTATGAGCAAATAGTTGACCTCCAAACTCGGGTAAAAACACTATGAAAGTGTAAAACTAGTTTTTAATATCAGAAATACTTTGTAAAACATTATTACCAGCAAATACGTTTTTGAAAAACAATCATTAACAGCAATACATTTTTGAAAAACAAATATTACCAGCAATACATTTTTTTTTAAATATTACGAGTGAAAGAAAATTATTACCAGAAATAGATTTTTTGAGGGAAAATATATTACCAGAAATAGAATTTTGGAAAAAAATATTACCAACCATGAAAATTTTGTCGGCATTATATAACCCATTGAGGTTGATATGCTGTAAAACAAAACAAACCAAACATTTACCAACAACTCAGAATACCCTCATAAGTCCTAATGTAAAATGTAACATGGAACAAAATAGCAGATATCACTTGCACAAAGGGAGATATACCAATTTTTGAGAGAATGTTTGGTGTTGACTAAAATGTTCGATCAGTTTATTGAATAAAGAAAATAATTTGAAAGAAATTATTTCCGACTTAAATTTAATTGAAAAGTATACGAAATCTCTACCGAAATACGCATTTTAAAATACCCACATTGAAATATTACACAGGTATCCGTGTTTTCTGTCCACTTCTAAAAACAAAAAACTGGAAATTACTCCTGAGAGATTATCGTCGTCTGCTTCGTAGCGTTTTCTTCAACTTTCATCGCCATAACAAAATCTATGACTCGCAGATGTTGTCAAAACTGGACAGCTGGGAGATTGGGTTATTCAATCAAAATACTCTGTATGGCAAGTGAAGAACCTAACAAGCTTGTGTAAATGGTTGGCAGAATAGAGGTTAAAAGAGATAGCAGAAATACAAACTTAAATAAGTGCTACAAAGAACAGGAAATTGTGGATAGCCATGATCGAAAACATTAGAAAGAACATGACACATAGAAGAAGATCGACTTTGTGTAAATGTTTGCCAGTACATGGATCAGGGGAGGTAGCAGAAAAACAAAATTTTCGAACAGCTACAGAGGACAGGAAATTGTGGAGAGCCATGATCGTCAACGTCCTGAAGGAACATTGCACATAGGAGAAGATCGAGCTTGTGTTTTTTAGAACAGGGATTAAAAGAGATAGCAGAAAGACAAAATTTATTAAGAGCTACAAAAGACAGGAAGTTATGCAGAGGCGTTATATGGCACAAAGAAGAAGAAGAAGAAGAAGAAGAGGAGGAGGAGGAAGAAGAAGAAGAAGAAGAAGAAGAAGAAGAAGAAGAAGGAAGAAGAAGAAGAAGAAGAAGAAGAAGAAGAAGAAGAAAATTGACCTTGTGTAAATGGTTGGCAGAACAGGGATGAGGAAAGATAATAAAAAGACAAATTTTCCTAAGAGTTACGAAGGAGATGAAATTGTGGAGAGCCATGGTCTTCCATGCCGTGAAAGGTCATGAGACATAGAAGAAGAAGAAGCTTGTGTAAATGGTTGGCAGAATAGGGATTAGGAGAGATAGCAAAAGGATAAATTTTAATAAGAGCTACAAAGGAGAGGAAATTGTGGAGAACCATGATCTTGCATGCCGTGAAAGGTCATGAGACATAAAAGAAGAAGGACTTGTGTAAATGGTTGGCAGAACAGGGATTAGGAGAGATAGCAAAAGGACAAATTTTACTAAGAGCTACAAAGGAGAGGAAATTGTGGAGAGCCATGATCTTCCATGCCGTGAAAGGTCATGAGACATAGAAGAAGAAGGAGCTTGTGTAAATGGTTGGCAGAACAGGGATTAGGAGAGATAGCAAAAGGACAAATTTTAATAAGAGCTACAAAGGAGAGGAAATTGTGAAGAGCCATGATCTTCCATGCCGTGAAAGGTCATGAGACATAGAAGAAGAAGGAGCTTGTGTAAATGGTTGGCAGAACAGGGATTAGGAGAGAGAGATAAAAGGACAAATTTTACTAAGAGCTACAAAGGAGAGGAAATTGTGGAGAGCCATGATCTTCCATGCCGTGAAAGGTCACGAGACATAGAAGAAGAAGGAGCTTGTGTAAATGGTTGGCAGAACAGGGATTAGGAGAGATAGCAAAAGGACAAATTTTAATAAGAGCTACAAAGGAGAGGAAATTGTGGAGAGCCATGGTCTTCCATGCCGTGAAAGGTCATGAGAAAGAAGAAGAAGGAGCTTGTGTAAATGGTGTGCAAAACAGGAATTAGGAGAGATAGCAAAAGGACAAATTTTACTAAGAGCTACAAAGGAGAGGAAATTGTGGAGAGCCATGATCTTCCATGCCGTGAAAGGTCATGAGACATAGAAGAAGAAGGAGCTTGTGTAAATGGTTGGCAGAACAGGGATTAGGAGAGATAGCAAAAGGACAAATTTTACTAAGAGCTACAAAGGAGAGGAAATTTTGGAGAGCCATGATCTTCTATGCCGTGAAAGGTCATGAGACATAGAAGAAGGAGATTGTGTAAATGGTTGCAGAACAGGGATTAGGAGAGATAGCAAAAGGACAAATTTTACTAAGAGCTACAAAGGAGAGGAAATTGTGGAGAGCCATGATCTTCCATGCTGTGAAAGGTCATGAGACATAGAAGAAGAAGGAGCTTGTGTAAATGGTTGGCAGAACAGGGATTAGGAGAGATAGCAAAAAGACAAATTTACTAAGAGCTACAAAGGAGAGGAAATTGTGGAGAGCCATGATCTTCTATGCCGTGAAAGGTCATGAGACATAGAAGAAGAAGGAGCTTGTGTAAATGGTTGGCAGAACAGGGATTAGGAGAGATAGCAAAAGGACAAATTTTACTAAGAGCTACAAAGGAGAGGAAATTGTGGAGAGGCATGATCTTCCATGCCGTGAAAGTTCACGAGACATAGAAGAAGAAGGAGCTTGTGTAAATGGTTGGCTGAACAGGGATTAGGAGAGATAGCAAAGGGACAAATTTTACTAACAGCTACAAAGGAGAGGAAATTGTGGAGAGGCATGATCTTCCATGCCGTGAAAGGTCACGAGACATAGAAGAAGGAGCTTGTGTAAATGCTTGGCAGAACAGGGATTAGGAGAGATAGCAAAAGGACAAATTTTAATAAGAGCTACAAAGGAGAGGAAATTGTGGAGAGCCATGATCTTCCATGCACTGAAAGGTCATGAGACATAGAAGAAAAAGGAGCTTGTGTAAATGGTTGGCAGAACAGGGATTAGGAGAGATAGCAAAAGGACAAATTTCACTAAGAGCTACAAAGGAGAGGAAATTTTGGAGAGCCATGATCTTCCATGCCGTGAAAGGTCATGAGACATATAAGAAGAAGGAGCTTGTGTAAATGGTTGGCAGAACAGGGATTAGGAGAGATAGCAAAAGGACAAATTTTACTAAGAGCTACAAAGGAGAGGAAATTGTGGAGAGCCATGGTCTTCCATGCCGTGAAAGGTCATAAGACAGAAGAAGAAGGAGCTTGTGTAAATGGTTGGCAGAACAGGGATTAGGAGAGATAGCAAAAGTACAAATTTTAATAAGAGCTACAAAGGAGAGGAAATTGTGGAGAGCCATGGTCTTCCATGCCGTGAAAGGTCATGAGACATAGAAGAAGAAGGACTTGTGTAAATGGTTGGCAGAACAGGGATTAGGAGAGATAGCAAAAGGACAAATTTTACTAAGAGCTACAAAGGAGAGGAAATTGTGGAGAGCCATGATCTTCCACGCCGTGAAAGGTCATGAGATATAGAAGAAGGAACTTGTGTAAATGGTTGGCAGAACAGGGATTAGGAGAGATAGCAAAAGGACAAATTTTACTAAGAGCTACAAAGGAGAGGAAATTGTGGAGAGCCATGATCTTCCATGCCGTGAAAGGTCATGAGCCATAGAAGAAGAAGGAGCTTGTGTAAATGGTTGGCAGAACAGGGATTAGGAGAGATAGCAAAAGGACAAATTTTACTAAGAGCTACAAAGGAGAGGAAATTGTGGAGAGCCATGATCTTCCATGCCGTGAAAGGTCATGAGACATAGAAGAAGAAGGAGCTTGTGTAAATGGTTGGTAGAACAGGGATTAGGAGAGATAGCAAAAGGACAAATTTTACTAAGAGCTAAAAAGGAGAGGAAATTGTGGAGAGCCATGATCTTCCATGCCGTGAAAGCTCACGAGACATAGAAGAAGAAGGAGCTTGTGTAAATGGTTGGCAGAACAGGGATTAGGAGAGATAGCAAAAGGACAAATTTTAATAAGAGCTACAAAGTAGAGGAAATTGTGGAGAGCCATGGTCTTCCATGCCGTGAAAGGTCATGAGACATAGAAGAAGAAGGAGCTTGTGTAAATGGTTGGCAGAACAGGGATTAGAGAGATAGCAAAAGGACAAATTTTACTAAGAGCTACAAAGGAGAGGAAATTGGAGAGCCATGATCTTCCATGCCGTGAAAGGTCATGAGACATAGAAGAAGAAGGAGCTTGTGTAAATGGTTGGCAGAAAAGGGATTAGGAGAGATAGCAAAAGGACAAATTTTACTAAGAGCTACAAAGGAGAGGAAATTGTGGAGAGCCATGATCTTCCATGCCGTGAAAGGTCATGAGACATAGAAGAAGAAGGAGCTTGTGTAAATGGTTGGCAGAACAGGGATTAGGAGAGATAGCAAAAGGACAAATTTTACTAAGAGCTACAAAGGAGAGGAAATTGTGGAGAGCCATGGTCTTCCATGCCGTGAAAGGTCATAAGACAGAAGAAGGAGCTTGTGTAAATGGTTGGCAGAACAGGGATTAGGAGAGATAGCAAAAGGACAAATTTTAATAAGAGCTACAAAGGAGAGGAAATTGTGGAGAGCCATGGTCTTCCATGCCGTGAAAGGTCATGAGACATAGAAGAAGAAGGAGCTTGTGTAAATGGTTGGCAGAACAGGGATTAGGAGAGATAGCAAAAGGACAAATTTTACTAAGAGCTACAAAGGAGAGGAAATTGTGGAGAGCCATGATCTTCCACGCCGTGAAAGGTCATGAGACATAGAAGAAGGAACTTGTGTAAATGTTTGGCAGAACAGGGATTAGGAGAGATAGCAAAAGGACAAATTTTACTAAGAGCTAGAAAGGAGAGGAAATTGTGGAGAGCCATGATCTTCCATGCCGTGAAAGGTCATGAGACATAGAAGAAGAAGGAGCTTGTGTAAATGGTTGGCAGAACAGGGATTAGGAGATAGCAAAAAGGACAAATTTACTAAGAGCTACAAAGGAGAGGAAATTGTGGAGAGCCATGATCTTCCATGCCGTGAAAGGTCATGAGACATAGAAGAAGAAGGAACTTGTGTAAATGGTTGGCAGGACAGGGATTAGGATGGATGGCAAAAGGACAAATTTTACTAAGAGCTACAAAGGAGAGGAAATTGTGGAGAGCCATGATCTTCCATGCCGTGAAAGTTAACGAGACATAGAAGTAGAAGGAGCTTGTGTAAATGGTTGGCAGAACAGGGATTAGGAGAGATAGCAAAAGGACAAATTTTACTAAGAGCTACAAAGGAGAGGAAATTAGAGAGCCATGATCTTCCATGCCGTGAAAGGTCATGAGACATAGAAGAAGAAGGAGCTTGTGTAAATGGTTGGCAGAACAGGGATTAGGAGAGATAGCAAAAGGACAAATTTTAATAAGAGCTACAAAGGAGAGGAAATTGTGGAGAGCCATGATCTTCCATGCCGTGAAAGGTCATGAGACATAGAAGAAGAAGGAGCTTGTGTAAATGGTTGGCAGAACAGGGATTAGGAAAGATAGCAAAAGGACAAATTTTACTAAGAGCTACAAAGGAGAGGAAATTGTGGAGAGCCATGATCTTCCATGCCGTGAAAGGTCATGAGACATAGAAGAAGAAGGAGCTGTGTAAATGGTTGGCAGAACAGGGATTAGGAGAGAGCAAAAAGGACAAATTTTACTAAGAGCTACAAAGGAGAGGAAATTGTGGAGAGCCATGATCTTCAATGCTGTGAAAGGTCATGAGACATAGAAGAAGAAGGAGCTTGTGTAAATGGTTGGCAGAACAGGGATTAAGAGAGAGAGCAAAAGGACAAATTTTACTAAGAGCTACAAAGGAGAGGAATTGGGAGAGCCATGATCTTCCATGCCGTGAAAGGTCATGAGACATAGAAGAGAAGGAGCTTGTGTAAATGGTTGGCAGAACAGGGATTTAAAGTAAAAGGACAAATTTTACTAAGAGCTACAAAAGGACAATTGGAGAGCCATGATCTTCCATGCCGTGAAAGGTCATGAGACATAGAAGAAGGCTTGAAATGGTTGCAGAACAGGGATTAGGAGATAGCAAAGGACAAATTTTCTAAGAGCTACAATGCCGGAAAGGATCTTCCA